TTCTTTCGAGATCAGAGAGGGTAAGGTGTCACTTCCTTGTTGCTTTCTGTGGTACGAGAGCTGAATAGTTGAAAGATTGACGAAAACTACTCAATTTCAAACTACTCCATCTATTTAAAAGCTTGCTTGGTAACCACTTGTTTTTCAAATAATTTTTAATATTAAAATATATATTAACAATATTTTTTTTATTTTTTAAAAATTATTTTTGATATTAACATATAAAAATAATTTAAAAATACTAAAAATATATTAATTAAAAATAAATAAAAAATAAAAAAGTTTTTAATTTATTTTAAAAATACCTTTAAAATACATAAATAAACAGGCCATGAGATTGGATTTTATGGCTCTCAATTCATTTTGTTTCTAGTTTTTATACCAAAATCAAGACCGGTTCTCTTAATTGTTTTATTTGGTTAGTTTTTAAGAATTAAATATTTATTTCTCAATATAAATTCTTAAGTTCTAGGTTTTTTATATTTTTAAATTATTTTTAGTTTTTTTATATTTTTAAATTATTTTAATATAATAATATCAGAAATAATTTTTAAAAATAAATAAATAAAATATTATTGAAAAACAATAGTGACAGTCAAAGAAGTCATTGCGACCATACTTTTTTAGGGGCTCAAATGGCAAGTTGAGTTATTGGATTTTTGCTAGAAAGTCAAGAGATACGTCTCAGGCCCCAATTCACGCTCACAAATCTACCGAGCACAAATCCTCCAAAACCGTTCGTTTCAAAGCTTGTGCTTGGATAAGATCAACTCGTGCGTGAAGAGGCCCTGTAATTCCACTCATGAACATGGAATTGCACAAGGTGAGTCTCCTGTTTAAGAGAGGATACTCATTAAGTACACCATCTCGCATGAAGTCTTCAAGATCATGAGAATCAATCCTCAAATATTTAAGCATCATAAGGTCTCCATAAAGTCTGCACCATCGTTGAGGTTTATAAATAATTATACATATAAATCTCATTATCTTGACTTTATATTATAGAATTAAGATATGGTAAGCTACTAAAATGTTAAATCTTTTAATTAGCGTGAATAATTGAAATTATATTAGTGATGAGAATCGTGAGATATCAAATGCTTGATTGTAAAGCCGTTTTCAAAACAGCCCTAAAGACTTCGAAATCATATTTAATTATCTGTTAATCTTGAATACGTTCAGTAAACAATTTCTAGCTTTAATCTGAGGTGCCAAACACCCTTTGTGTCGATTAAAAAAGAAGAAGATAAATCCTTTGTGTGTAGTGGCGATCGTCAAGGAATTGAGAAATATGGTAATTAAAATTTTTAAAAAATTGCTAAAATAAAAGACAAAAGAGCATAGACACTAGGAAGGTTCTAAGCCTTCTTCAATAGACGCATTGGGGGTAAATAAGGTACAAATTACAATATTGCAGTGCACTTATAGCACAGGAGCAAGACACAAACGTTCACAGCCTTGTGGTGAATGCTTATTGGTATTCATAGTGGAGAACTGATTTTTTCTTTCAAAATAATAAAAAGAAGTCCTTTTCACTTATTTACCATTCCCGTTTCTTGACCCAGACCCGGCCCTAGAACCAGCAGACGAACCGGCTTCTGACCCGGCACCAGAACCAGCAGACGAACGGGCTCCTGACCCGGCCCGAGAACCAGCAGAAGAACCGGCTTCTGACCCTGCACCATAACCACCTCCCGATCCAGAACTGGAGCTTGACGAAGAAGAGGATGAACTGGAACTTGAGCTAGACCCGGATCTGGAACCCGATCCTGAACCAGCTCCAGCACCAGAACCAGAACCAGAACCTGATCCACCACCTCCCAGCCCAATACCCACCCCAACACCCAAACCAATCCCTAAGCCTCCAAGGTCCAAGCCCAAGTCTTGTCTAGCGACCCGGCATTCACTCACAGCAAAAGATGCAACGAGGAGACCAAGAACTGCTAAGCACTTCAAATTGGCCATTTTTTAAGCCTAGGAACCAAAGGTCCGAGAATACCAGACACTATGTATGTATACACTACTACTATAAGAGTATTTTCTCAGCTACTAAGATATCACGAGCTGTTGTGAGAGGGGAATGGAAAGATAGAGCTGCATTTATACTAGTAGATAGTGAGGTTTAGTATGTGGCTGTGAACACAATTAAAAAGTTGTAGGCGTGAAGAGTGAAGACTGTATCAGAAAGTGGTGGAGGGACATCGAATGCTAAGTTGCCTTATGAATTTTCTGCATGCCAAGTGTATTGTGAAGGTTCTTTTACTAAATCGGCTGTTTACAAGAATTTGGTGGCGAAAAAAGCATTATGAAGATCATGCCGTCCCATTATAGATAGTGGACTCTGACTGGCCTGTGCTGTAGGATGCTGTCAAGGATGAATTTAAGGAAAGTTATCGCTTAAACACATGCCGGGGAAGATAATGTCTGGAGTATCATTACCAAGAAGGCATCGCCCAGGTCAAGAAGAAAGAAACTATAACAAACTTCGGAATCCCACCTGGCAGGTTGGAATTAAGAACCAAATACGAAGGAAAATCTGGCAAAGCTAGTGAAAGTTTTGTTTGACTCATGTTTTTTCATGAATTTATTGATTTGCTTTAAAGTTAATTAAGCAATTTAAAATATCAAAAAATATTTGCGATTATACATTTTTTAAAAAGTTTGAGAATTACAATATATATTCCAAGTTTAGGCCATTTTTAAACATTTCAACTTGGAGACCAAGGTCCAAGCCCAAGCCTTTTCTTGCAACCCCGCTTTCACTGACAGCCAAAGTGGCGACAAGGAGGCCAAGAATTGCGAGACAATTCAACTTGGCTATTTTTTTAATCCTGGCAAACAATGGTCGAAAAATATCAAATACATTTATTGTTTTAGCTATGATATACTTGGAAAGTTTTTGTGAGAGGGAAATGGAAAGCTAGAGCGATATGAGAATGCAAACGAACGGGCATGTTTCTAGTATATAAGATTAGAGATGGTACGACTGTAGACTGTAGCAGCACAGAAGTGGAGCCTGGAGACATAACCTCCACGATTGTTTCTAATTAATTTGCTTTATGAATTATCCTGCATTGCCAAGTGTGCATGATCATGTGAACACGTTTTGAAATTAGTATTTGTCCAAAGTTTGCGGCTGAAAAAAGCTGAGGATTGCATTGCCAAGAGTGCATGATGGCTTTGGAGTCTGAGATTATGAAAGCTGGTGCCGTCCCATGAATTCCAAACCCACTACAGATACATACATAGTGGAGCTTGATTGGGTTGCACTGTAATGAATTAAGGAATAGAAAAATGCTTAGACATGTTCAATTAACATGCTACCTGGCTAATTAAATTGATTAATTATAAGATGCGGAAAGATGTAAGATTTTTCACGATCAATTACATCCCACAGAAAAAAAAGCTAATTCATCTTAAGAAATTTGATATATAATATTCACACAATTATATATCTTTTATCTTTTATTTTTACATTTAATTTTATCTAATAAAAAAATTATCATACCTTTTTTTTATTAATATAAATATCCAGATCAGCTTACGCATAACTCAACTAATTATATGAATTATAAAATTAATAATTATATAAATCTTTAGTAATTATGAGAAAATTCAAATTCATGATTATTAAATAATAAATTAAAAACCGGAACAATCATTCTTGATTATATGTGAAACAAGTAGGTAGGGGTGGCATAGAAGATATTATCTAGCTATTTTTTTAAAAAGAAACATTTGTACATATTGTTGTAATAACCAAGATGATTTTAAGAATTAATCACATCTAATTGAAAAATCAAACTAAAATTTCGAAAACATTGAATGAAAACATTTAATTTTTTTTGCTTCCATGAGTGTTTTGATTCTCTTAATATTATAAAAATATTGAATGAAAAAATAAAAAAACAACACCAAACAGATTATTAATGATTTATGAAACCTGTGAAACCCTATTCAAAGGTATTTATTTTTTGATGAGAAGAACAAAATAATCACTGCATTGCAGAATTAAAACTTGTGAGAGGAGGTAGAACAAATCTCCCTTGCCTTTTAATAAATTTGTAATGTTTATTGGAGGCTCACTACTGCTTTTGAATGTTTAGTTCATTGGAGTACACTATGTATCTTTTTTCCCTTTTCCTATAATTCCAACCATAAAATCTGGAAATGAATGATATAGTATCTGCATTACCGAATCGTGGTTATCTAGTGTTGGAAATTAACTTGTTTAATTGGAAAAAATAGAGTCATCTAACCATTTAATCATCTATAAATAAACTAATTAAACAATAAATTAGGTGACATTTTATTTTTATTAAAAATAATATAAATTATATTTTAAATCTCATCTAATAATTTAAAATTTTAAATTGAATTAGTTATTTGATATAATATTAAAATTTTAATAACTAAATAGTCACAAGTTCAAATATCATTATTTATTTAATAAAAATTAAATATAAAATAATGTGAATCCATAAATTTTAAATTAAAAAACTTTTATTTTTATATAAAAAATAATATAAATTTTATTTTTAAATCTCACCTAACAATTTAAATTCTTAGAATGGATTTACATTCTTGGCAACCGGCATAATAATTTATAAGAAAAGGCTCCAACGAATTGTCTTTAGATTTTGTTAAGATGATATCTGTGGGGCTATTGTCAAGGATGTGATAATCTCCTGTATAGCTTTTAGCTCTCCTATGAAAAAGAAAAGAAAAAATAAAATCTTATGCCCCTTCTTAAGTTTTCAAACATATTCTTGTTTGATAAACTATAACAGTAGAAGATGCATTTTTTTTTTTAAAAATAAAATTTTTGTATTTTTCTTTTGAAAATATATTAAAAAACAAGGATTAAAATCGAGTTGCGATATATCGGATGTTGGTGAGTCAAGTTCGTGAAGGGATTAGCCACAGAAATTAAATTAAAACGCTTGAACCTCGAGCTCATGCATGGCAATTTCAATAACGTTTCTTGGCCTCTTGGGTGATAAAATGCTTGAAGCTCATGATGGCAATGTCATTACCGTAAGGTGACATCAAAAGAAATACAAGGATGGTAAATTATTTGATAAGCCATGCGCATGAACACAACGATAATATATTAGGCAACAGGAGGGACTCATGAGCTACATAACAGGTAGAAAACTAGGTTAAAGACTCCATGGACGAAGGAGTGCTCTTATGATTCTACAATCTGTTTATTTATTTATATATCAAACGGTGAGCTGTTCTATTTTTATTTTCACCACACTGGTATTAATTATTTTTCTCATTTAGTTACCACTTCCACTGCCATAGCCCGATCCTTGTCCACGACCCTCGCCATAGCCTTCACCGTTGCCAGACCCACTTCCCCTGCCAGAACCCTCACCGTATCCCTCTCCATGTCCAGAACCGGAACCTGCTCCACCACCTTGTCTACCACCTGATCCTGATCCTGATCCTGCTCGAGACCCAGCATAGGAACCCGCTTCAGAGCCTGCGTCAGACCCGCCATTAGAGCTTGAACTGGACCTGGATGAGGATGAAGAGGACGAACTTGACCCGGAACTTGATCCTGAACCAGAACCAGACCCAGCTCCAGACCCAGAGCCACTACCTCCTAAACCCACGCCCACTCCTGCTCCAAGCCCAACTCCCACACCACCAAGATCCACACCCAAGTCTTTTCTTGCAACCCGACTCTCAGATTCTATAGCTGACATGATCACGAGCAATGCAATCAAAGCTAGAGACCTGTATGGAGCCATTTTTCGTTAAGGCTAGCTGTTAATCTCAAGGGAGGCTTCAATATAATTAAGGGCACTTAAGAGAACACGATCGGGGTAGAGGTCTTCAATATTGCAAGTAAATGAGAGTGGAAGACTGATTGTTTCGTGGGAGAGACTATGGAGAGACCATGCTATTTATAGTTGATGATTCTGAACGTACTACATCGTGACAGAAAACGAGTGAACTACCGGATATAAGAATATATTTTTCACAATTTGATTGAATTGGAAGTGGAGGTGATGATTTGGCTGATCATGGGTTCTGCTGGACAGAAATTTGTGGCCAAGAAAAGCTAACCTGTTGGAGATTTCTGTATTCTTGGACATGTGTTACGATGTTGCCGCCCCACTTCACCTGCACCCACCATAGTGGAAACGTACTGTTGCTATCTGCAGCATGTCTGTTGACTCTGCTTCTACGACTGTTGACATTTTTATTTCCTTGCGGTCATTATCTGAGTATCGAAAGTGGAATTCAGGCATCACCAACTTCCTGACACTTATATACCAATATTGGTCCAATGCTAGTGGCTCTTATAATTTGCACATGCAAGGAGGGGAAGGACGACTCAGTTTCGGTGAGTGTGCTAAAAAGATGATGCATGCGTGCTCAAGAGGTGCGCCATTAGCTAGCCTCTCTCAATTCTAGAATGATGGTTAATTTATTTCATAATATGATATCTGCTGTGATGTTAACTACTAGCTAGCTAGCTAACTATTAATGTTTTGCTAACTCTGACAAATTCAGAAATATCAAGGAAAAGACGCCATGCATGTGAACAACAACATAACACCCACGTTAAAGACGCCATGGCTCTTATAATTTGCACATGCATTTAGCGAGGGTTTTCTTTGAAGGCGGCACATGGTCGCGATGGAGCTTTGTAATTGTAATGTATTTAAAATTACGTCATGCTTGACATAGCAAGAACAGAGCAACAGCAACTAAAGACTTAATGCAGCCATTGTTGTGAGGCCACAACAAGAATACAACTTTAAGCAAGTTAATGACTTTTGTAGCAGGAAAGAAAATGCAATTCTTGACCTTAATGCATTAATTGATAATTTGCTAGATGAAGGAGAACCTTAATTTATATACTTAATTTGATCATGGTACTTAAGATTGGAACAGAAAAGGTAAGGCACGTATATGCGGCCAAAAACTGAAGGATGTAGGGCGGTGGAAAAGTTGATTTTGCATAATTTCCAACTAGGATTGTTAGACAAAACTTCGTGGTTGTTCTCGGAGATATTGTTCGTTTTCGACACTTGGCCAAAGTGCCGACCCATTTGGTTTCCACTAACCATAGTGGAGTAACATTTGTGTATGATGAATCAATATTTTATCAGCAATTTTTTGTATATTTTTCCAAAGGAAAACATTTGAGAATATATGTCTTGAACTCTTGGACAAGCTGCGCTGCTATGTACCAGCTCCAAACACGCTCCTATAGCTGTTCATTGCTAGCCCAAGCACAGCTACGTCTAGTAGGTGTTGCCAAACCCAAAAGTTATTGGGTTTGCTTCTATAAACCCAAAACTTGGATCTAGTAGGTGCTGTTAGGCCCAACAACTTGGCCTGGTGCTCTAGTAAGTCAACAAGACAGGTCTGGCACGCATTTTCCGCAGGTGTTGAGCTCAAGACTTTTACCTGAGCATGATTGGATGCTCCATGTTCGCCTAGGCCTAACACATGGCCGGACCTGCAACACCCATATGCTAAATGCATTGGTATATACAAATTCTCTTGCCATATGCAACTGTAATATGGAAGCAACCCCTTGATTGCTGTGACATAGTTTGCTATGCTGCACAGAGGGACAATTTTTGAGGAAACCAGATACAAGAGGGAGGGGTGAAAAATGTTAACTGCAGAAAACTTATATTCGTCTTGGAAGTAATGGATGATACAAAAGTTGATTAAAAATCAGTTTTTGTCTTATTTGTGAGCATGCTGGTTATGCAGTGTACACTGATGAAATGGAGCTGAATATCAGCATAATAATACAAACATTGATATCACAAGGATTCAACTTTTTGCGTTGATATTTTTTATACTGCGATGTATAATGTACATTTTGTTGAGTTCTAACTAACATGTATACTATTTTTATCTGCTGTTTTGGTGAAAGGAGCTAGATTTGAGTATGAAAAAGGCTTAAATTTAGAGAAGGTGGAGCAAATGAGAGCAATGGAACAAAATCTCATAGGGATGGCAAGAGAAATGGAAAAGTTGCACATTGATGTCTTGAATGCTGATAACAGAGCGCGCGGCAACTTTTTCTTGCATCTGAATGTGGTGGTTATATCATTCAAAATTTTCTTTCATTTTTCTCTAATTCTTGTGCTGATCTGTGTTGTATTAGCTCCAAACCAATATTGTGTTGGCTATGCGAATCCTGACGCTTCTTATCCACCCCCAGTAGAAGTTGGTGGTGCCAATTTTGATGGATATGGGAGGACTTTTGTTCACATGGGTGTTGGGTCAGCTGGGGATTGGATAATTCCATACAACGGTAGCAATGTTGAAGTGTCCAGTGTTGCATTTGGTGGTGCAACAACGTCCAATGCTGATGGTGTTGTTCACTGGGTAGGGCCTTCTGATCCGTCTCTTGCTCGGGGGTGAACATGATGAAGCTTTGATCAGAAGCTATCCAGAAGCTTTTCTGCCTTGCCTGGCATTCTGGGCTTACCGCAGCTCCTCAAAGGTTCCATCAATTGCTACAAGGTGAACATGCGAGTCTGATGAAGTTTTCATCAGAGGCTTTTCACAAGCTTTTGCTACCCACACCATGCTCTGCATTTGTAAAATGCAAAGTTCCGTTGTTCACTTGGTAATCTATTATTAAATTTATTTCATTATTTCCATTCACCAGTCTTCTTGTTGAATCAATTCAGCAGTAGGATAGCCATAGAGTTTGCCTTCTCCCTCAATCAGAACTATCATTTTCCAGCCGCCTTTGTTATAAACGGTATAACAAGTTCAGACAGGTTCTCTCAAGAATGGGAAAAAGAAAACATAAAAACCAACATGTTAAGATTTAGAGGTGACTTCATGCGGGTAGCTAATTAAAGCTAAAATGCCGAAACTGATCCTTCACAAGAGGCTTGATTCGTTATGTAGATAGACTCATTTCCTTGCAGCTTAACTGGGTAGCTAAACTTGCAAGCTGTTGGCTTCTACAGATCAAGATCAGTCAGATCTGTATCTGCCATGGTGGGTGAGGCCAGTTAAACGCATAGCAAATGGCTCAGAGAAAAAGGCATGTGCTTCGTTATTGGTAAAAAAGTTTCCCCTCATACATGCTAATTCAAAGCATAGAATCAAAAGTTGCAAAATAACAGCGATCTAGAAAACACGCGCACAGGTGACCAACACCATAGAACAAAGAAAAAGAAGAAAACCATTCTTATTTCATAAAGATTAAAAAAAAAAAAGGAACCCTTTTCGTAAAAACTATCTGGCAACACAATAAGAAAAGGTCCTCTCTTTCTTGAATTTGTGGAGACGAATCGATCGTTCTTTATTATTTCTCCCACATAACCATAACGAATAATAATATGTGAGCAATAACAAGAAGTAACCCCATTAAGATGAGGAGGACTCCGAGATTCCTCCATTTGCTTTCCATTATTCTCACAAAACCACGTTTACAAGATCCACAGTTGTAGCACAGGCTGCTTGGATCATTCCGCCATGTAGCACAGTCACTATATTGCAGTTGTGATTCATTTGACATATTGAATGGTGGTTTGCAAAATGTGGCATTCACATACTCCATTTGACATATTGATGGTGGTTTGCAACATCCAGACTTCCATATAACAAAATAAAATAAAAATATTTTAAAATAATTTGGAAGCAGAGCTGATATGCAAGAATGTATTTAGATTTTAGATTATTAGTTAGTTGCACTCAATACCATAAAAACTAAAAATAACACACACAAATCAACAAATAACTAATTGCATATCACTTGAAAAAGCATGGCTAGTACTGCGATTAAGAAGGACGTTTGCTATAATGATAGGGTCATATATATATATATATATATATATATATATATGTATTTTTTTTATGTAGAGAGATATATATATATATATATATATATATATATATGAACTTTTTCTTTCTTTCTAATTCCTCATAAAGAGCAAAAATATGGGTTCGAAACCTACTCCTCCCTCCTCTCTTGTCTTTTTGTAGGAGCAGAAAACATTGGTTAAATATGCATTTATAATCATGTATATGCTTAGCGATTTTCCTATAGAAATCATATCCACGTAAAATAGGCGCAAAAAATGATTCAAAGATAACAACATAACATGTGTAAATGGAATAAAACTACCTCTATAGATGATAATTTCTTGATACTGAAATCAAATGCTTTGAGATTCAACGACCTGGACACCAAATCATCGCATGTTCCTGAACTGAAAATGCAAGATCTAATATTCTCCCAGTCGTCATGATTGCGGATTTTTTCTCTGAACCACATTGGTGTCGCCACCAATCTCCTGCTTTCCATCTTGTTAGCTCCCACAAGTGCAAGTCCCATTGTGAACATCACGATCAACGGCACCATAACGATGAAAAAACCTGGCACTGGAAACCGTGATCTCAAGAACACGACAATGCTGCTAATCAAGGAAACAAATATCAATCCAATGCCAATGCCCATCTGTAATCTCGGTAGCCTCAAGAGCTTCTCACAGTCGTAATCTCTCATGTAAAGCAACCAAATAGCTAAGGCAATGATCAAAACAGAAAGCACAAAAGTGAATATTGATAATAAGCCTGCATATTTTCTTACTTGAGTTCCTTTATCAGACTTTGTATTTTCTACAATTCTTTTATTAGTTTTGGTAGTTTCTTTTGTTGTTTTCACTGCAAGTGCTTCTGTAGGGTTAGAATTTTCTGCCATATTTGAGATGAGCTGATCACATAAAATCAACAAGTGGTGATGGGTTTTATTATTGTCAGGTGTTTACCAAGTCAAGTTCGTTTATGAAGTTATACTGTTCATCATAAGTGTGAGGGAAAAGAGATCCTAATAAAAAGTAACGAGTCAGCGTTGTTTAAGGGATACATGAATTTAGCTTCTTTTTTTTATATATATATATTATTAAACCCAGCTGGCTTATGATGTGAGTTATATATTATATGAGTTAATTCAATTTTGTTCTGTTTAGTTTAATTTAAAATAATGTTATGATTTTTTTAAAAAAATATTAAAATATTTTGATTTTTTTTAAATAATCAAATTTAACTGGATTAATTGAGTTATATTACATCAATTTCTATTAAATTTAATTTTAAACTTGATTTGAGTTAGGGATCATAGAAATCACATGTTTGACTTAATGGTGAATTTAGGTTTAATAATATTTTTTATTAAATATCTATTATAGTCATTGAAAAGAGATTTTGGTACTCAATAATAATAATAATATGATGCATTAATATTTTTTTTCTTTTCACATGAAAACAAGAAAATTAAATTATTTAAAATGGGTCAAACACATATAAGATTGTTATGTATCATTGAATAAAAAAACTAGACTACTAGACCACTTGTTAGGTAGGTTAATAGTAGGTTTTAAAAAAATAATTTTAATTGTGATTGGTTTGATAAAATATATATTTGATTGAAATTATGGTTGAATTTGATATTGAATAAAAAAATAGTTCGAGAGTGTTTTGTTAAAATTATGTTTGGAAATAATTTTAAAAATAAAATGATTAATATTAATTTTATAGTTTTTAAAGTAAAATATTATAAATTAAATTATTAATGTTATCTTTGGCTATCTATTGTGTTTGGATAGAATTTTTCATCTAGCCTAATAGCTAAAAGGAAGAGGTTTTAAAGGGAGAATGAGCTAAATTATGGGTTTAAAGGAGGGTTTTAGAGAAATAAATGTATTATTGTAGAGCGTGTGAAGAGGAGGGAGTTATGAAGAAGGGAATTTGGCAATTAATTGGTGAATTTTTCAACAGAGATATGATTTTCAAACCAAAAAAAGAGATAAATGAGTGTTTCAAATGGATTTGACGAGAAGAATTTTAAGAGATGTGTGTAGGACTATAAATAGATATGTGGTAGAAAAAAGGGGTTATTAAGGAAGGTTTTTTTTTTTTTTTTGTAATAGTTATTAGAGGTAAGAAAAAAATTGAAAAATAAAAAAAATCAGAAAAAAATAACTAAAAAACTGAATGATAAAAAAATTAATTAAATAGATTAAAATTTTAAAAAAATTTATTTGTTCAGTTCAATTTCAATTTTACATGTCTGAAACTGAAAAAACTGAACCGAAATTAAAATATCAAATCAAATAAAAAAAATCAAATTGAAAAAAAAACCAAGCCAAATTAAAAAATTAAACTAAATAAAAAAATTGAGCCAAATTGATTTGAATCGGTTTCAATTCAGTTTTGATTTTTTTAATTATTTTTTTAATAAAAATCAAATCAAACTTAAAATAATTATTTTTAATAATTATTTCTCTCTCAGTGATAATGTGTACTATTAGTTGAAGGAGAAAAAAATTAAGGTTAGGACTCGTGAGAAGCTAGTGTAACATACTTCTCTTGAAATTGAGTTTCTACCTTATTTTTTGATAGGTTTTAGTTTTAAAAATATTAATTAATACTTTAATAAAAAATAATTTTATATGATTTCTTAAAAAACTAATATATTTTAAAAGTGTTGTTTTATATATCATGATGAGATTTTTTTATTAAAAAATTAAAATTATAAAAAATATTAATTTAATATTTTTTTTAAATTAAACACATTCTTAAAATGCGCTTAAATAATTTTTTTATATTAAACATTCTTAAATATTTTTTTGTTTATGCAGATACGCAAAACCAACTACTAAAGTTTCGTAAGAAAAGCGGAAATGTTAAGTGGTCTCGGTCTGGCCCAATAAACATAACTGTAATTCGGGTTTAATATATATCAAAGCCAACCAAACAGTAGTTCATAACCCGATTCACAGTCCATGCTTTCTTGTACCCAAACATGACTCTCTCAATTTTTTCGTTTCGTTTTGCACATGGGTCCCAATTTTATTGTTAATCGGACGAACCGCAGGATAAAAAAAGAAGAAGAATTAATTAGTCAATACTGAGCCTCTCTCCCCATTCGAACTCTTTCGATTGATTTCTAGCTTCTCTGTGTCTGAATTCGATCGCTATTGGCAGCCATGGGAAAAGAGGTATTCTTTAATCTCTCCTCTATCTTCTCTTTTCGGATTTGAAAATAAAGGCAATCGAATTCATTTTCATACAATCAATTCCTCGGATCTGCAAAAGATTTATTATATCTTCTGGCTGTGTTCTATATTTTACGTACTATGTTTTCATGTTTTACAAATAATTAATTATTTAAGTTAGATTGATTCCTCCTAATGCTTACGACATCGTATGCCTGGTTTGTGGGTGATCTATTAAGATTTAGTTTTTTTTTTCCTTTTAGAATTAAGAATAAGGAAACAGCGATGAGACATTTTGAAAATTGTGATTGATTTTATTTTTTATCTGTTGTTTGAGAATGATGTGATGTTTCTTCGGGTAATAATGGCATTGTTTTACTGCGTAGATTGAGCTGAAAACAGCTCCAGCTGATTATCGATTCCCTACGACAAATCAAACCAGACACTGTTTCACCCGCTACATTGAATTTCATAGGTATTGTTCATTAGTCTTTGTCGATTTTATTTCATTTATCTGTCAATTATTTAGTGGTTATCTTTGTTTTTTTTCCCATAAACGTTAATTATTATTGACTGCAGGTGTGTGGCAGCGAAGGGTGATGAAGGTAATGATTGTGAACGTTTTGCTAAATACTACCGTTCCCTTTGCCCCTCTGAGTGGGTGAGTATACTGAGCCTCTTTTTTTTTTTTTTGTCTCAATTAATTTATGATCTGCCAAGGACATTTTTTTTTAATATACTGTAGTTCTCTGTAAAATGTTGGCAAATGATTTTCAATGAAAGTTTGCCAGTAAAAAAAAAGCAAATTATTGAATTTAGAATTAATTTAAGTGGTTTCTTATTCACGTGGGATGTCATCTTTGCACTGTAGCATTATCGTGAATGTTATTGCATCATTCATGGTTTGGGAGTCAGGCTAAATGTAAACACGCCTGTCTGATGCTACATGATGTGGTGTGTTTCACGACATTGCCAATTTTGTTTTAAACTGTTTACTCCCATTTGCTATTGGAATACACTGATACCAGTTGTATGAGCTTATTTACAATATTGAGCAAAGGGCTTATTTACAATATTGAGAAATCAGACAAGCTTGCCTTTATGTTAGAAACCTATTTCACCTCTCAAACATCATGCTCTCCACATTTGTCATCTGTGCTGAACAACAAGCCATCTATATTTGCTGTTCTATCTATAAAAGTTTAAGTTTGACAGCTTGTTGGTCAAGTTCTCAAGAGTATAATTGGTGATGTAGTGTGGGAAGAGAAATCAACTCAAAACAACAAAGAACAATAAATTGATGGTAAAAACTAGAAAAAAATTGAACTTGGAACTGGAAAAATTGGTTTAGGGTTTGTAGACAACCTTTTAAACATATTATGATCGATAATATACAGAACATGTCTGAAAAATAAGCTAGGCAGCTTTATTTATACTAGTACTAGGTCTAAATCCTAATCCTTATTGGAAAAAGAATCCTTAGAAAGTTACATGACTAATATTAAATCCAAATGGCATCAGGATTTTTAGACTAATTAGAAAAGTAAAATTACCAAGTAAAGCTCCATGTTGATTACGCTTGTTAGTATCTGACTGACGTATTGTGAATCTGAGACTGTAATAAAGATCTTTTTGCATGACCTATTTTCTTTCATTCCCTGGCTAACATAGACAAATATTTGGGCCTAGATTACACGTAAACAGAATATCTCTGCATTTGGTGCTTTAACATGCCATTACTTAGAATGTGGAAGCATCCAGTCAGTGGTAAGATATAGTTTAGGATTGAATGAAAAGTTTATAAGACAGAATATTTTATGTGCTGACTTAGTCTGTTCTTGATTAATGCTGCAATGCTATGTTCATCACTCTTGTATATTGAATCATACCTTCTACTATTTTAACTTTGACTCAAATTTTGTATGTCATCTCTCTGCGTTGTCAGTAGTTGGTGAGATGTTGTCTTGGAATATACCATAATTGGTCTATTATATATTTCAGTCTCTTAAATGGAATCTGTCTTGTAGAATATTGTCTTTAGTGCTTGAAGTGGCAGTGATTTGCTTTTAGAGTCAATAAAAATTTTTACCATTGTAATTGACCATTGTTTCTTTCTTTTTCATGTGAATGAATTGCTGCAGGTCGAGAGGTGGAATGAGCAGAGGGAGAATGGAACATTTCCAGGTCCCCTTTGATCTCACATCAGCGAGCTGAACAGTCTCTGCCCGTATTTGTCTTCTCATTTTCTTCTATCTACATTTGTGGTTGTGCTTTGACTATGAATTAATAAGGCACTGTTTGGAATTCCTTGTCAGTTTGTTGAATTGACATGAATTATTGCGGATATTTGTGCTGGTTTCTAATTTGTTTATTTTCGTTGTACTGTTATTGTTCTTCACTGTTAGGGGTGCAGTCTTTGATTGCGTTGACAGTGAATGGTTCTGGAATACCTTGATGATTATTAGAACCTGAAGAATATACATATAATGAGGTCAAAATGGTTCTATCACGGAGTTTGGGGTGGATTTCTCTGGAATCTAGAATAGGATACCAACAAGCCTGAGATGGCTATTTGTGGATTTGGTGGAAAGGACAAGAAGCTAGAACAGCAACCAGGGTGTTTACGATTGCTTAGCAATGCTTTTACCTTGTCACCATTGTAATCGTTAGCCCAAGTTTTTGTTTTTTTATAGACATTTAGCACAAGTTCAGGAATGAAATTGGCAGAGGTAAAATGCAGCAACTGTATGCTGGAGCCGAGACCGAAAACAGACTTCTCAGGGCAGGGAGGCCCTGCTTTGGCCGTAGTCTAAAACCTTGAGGTTTTGGAACCAGCCAGGGTGCCTCGCTTTTGATTCTTGTGGATGGTTCGATATTAGTTATTATTATTTATTAGAGAGATGGATTGAAGAATGGGGCCATGCCATAACTGTGGATTGTATGTTAAGTTTCAGCGCTGAATCCGTGGTCGGATGTTGACATTTAATTTGGCTACCATTACCGTATGCTCGTAAGAGGTATGTATCTAAGGAATTCGAGCATTACACAAACAAAGAAACAAAAAATTCCTTGGTCAAAGTTGGGGGAGCTGTCCCTTTGTCTGTTCATCATGCCCCAATTAAATAACCTAATATAATTAAAACGATGAAAAATGAAAATCGTCTTAGGCGATAAAGTGAAGCAATTTGATTACCAGTCCTCATAGAAGAAGAGTTTGCAAACAAAAGTTATCGTCCCTGCTGGTGGCTCAGCAACAACCACCATCACCAACCACCTCTGCTTGCTAGTTGCTTCCATTCCAATTTTGCTTACCTTGACGTGACGGGATAGTAATTTTCTTAATCAGCGCCGCTAATCTATGCATGTCAACTTGTTACCTCAAATTTACTCCAAAGGTTATCGGGAGCTCTGCACAACAATGTAACTACTTTGCTTCTACAGCCATAAAGCTAGAGATATATGGTGATATTCAAAGCATTAACAGAAAATCAGAATCTTCTTCTCAAAAGGTTGCTCTCACTGACAGATTGACCAAAGCATCAAATGCCATGTGATCATGTTAAGAAGGTTCTTTTGGCTTGATTAAACATCAAGTGATTACAGGGAAAATATTGGGATTTCCTGGGATATGATTTATTATACTGTTAAACTACACTAGCTAGATTGTCATAATTTGCAGGTACAGAGTACATGGTATGCGCAGCACCACCACGTTGCCTCGTGACAAAATGTCAGAGAGGGGCGAAAAGGCTTCTTTCATCTAAAATGGATATCATAGAGCGCTGTCTCGCTGACAATGCCATCCACAATGTGCAGGGGCGTAAGAACGAATCGTCTTAATCAATGAGAATAGCATAGAACGTGATTTCCGTAGCTTTCTGGCTCCTTGTTGCTTCAATGCTCTGTCTCTGTGAGGAGATCATGTGGATTGTGACAATATATAGTGGCAGAGCCTGCAAAACCGTCATGGAATGGTTAGCATATAACAAAAATAGATTAAAAGAAAGAACAAAAGGAAGGAAAGGAGAGAGAGAGGAGGGATTGAGCTTGAGTAATAAACAAGTTCAAGATGGGGCAATATGTTGACTTACCACCTAACGCAGAAGAGGTCACAAAACTAGTTCTTGGTCCAAAATGTCATCTGGTTCGAAAGAGGTATTCTCACATTGGGATCTCCACCCTCAGTATGCCATGACCCTGTGTGCTTCTCTATTTGAAGAAAAAGGCACCACAGTTCCAAAATTTATAAATGTTCTGTTCGAAATATATAAATAAATGAATAAATCTGGTAAAATATATTATACCCTTCAAGCGCAGGGCCATCGTATTTCTGGAGCTAAACGCGGCATTGCAAGTTTCAAGGCAATTCCCTTTGTCTTTTTGGAAAATATTAGTATATGGGTTAGCAGTGCATGTGAAACTTGCACACAACCTCATACATCAGCGTTTCTTTTTATTTGATAAGTACAATCTACAGTCCACGGCTCTACATGTTCTCCGTCAGTCCTCTTTCTTAACCTTATAATTATTTATTTATATTTCTTAGAGTGCAAATTGCTTAAAAAGGACTTGGTAAGCACACTACACAAACATTTTTTTTTTTAAAAAAGAGGGCCGGATTACTTAGATTCAAAAATCAAATTGTTCAACTTTATCTCTTGCTCAAAAGTCTTTCTATTTTTTTTAATTTTTTAATTTACATGGATATCCGGGTCAGCTTGAGCATACCACAACTAATCTCACAGTCCATTGAACATCTTGCAAACTCAGTAAACATGTAAGACATCGCGGAAGTTACAAACATATACAGTGAGATTTGAATCCGAATATAGAAAAAAAAATAAGTCTCTTTCACCGCTGGACTAACATCTTTAGTGTGTCTTCCTACTTTTTAATTACATCAAATGTAGGCATAAAAAACAGATTTAGAGATGTGAAGATTATTAATTTCAAGGTATTAATTCCTTTTACAATTCATCTTCATCATATGATTTTATTTTTTATAATTTATCTTTAATTCATCATTATCTTCAAATATAGATTCCAATCAAGAGTATAAAAGATTTTTAAAGTAATAAACATGAAACATTATCTTGTCTTTTTAATAAACAAATTTTTTTTATTAAAACAATTATGCTTCATAAACTCTTGATGCATTATAGTTTTAGATTCCATTGCAGATTAATAACTTAAATTTATTGAGTTAGTGGATATAAAAACAAGCTTTGAGACGTAAATATTATTATTTCTAAGATATTTGTTACAAAGTTAAAACAATATTACTTTATGATATAGAAAATTTTTGATAAATTTTGATAAATTTTTGAAGAATTTTTGTTTTATTTATGATAAACATAAACAAAAAATTAGAATTTATAGAAAAAAAGACAAAAAAAAGATTATTTTTATCATTATTAAACTAAGATTTATATATAAAAAAACAACATTTTCTCAAACCAATATATTTTTAAAATTTAAAAACACATTTCTTCGTACCAATATTTCCATAGAAGTCGTCGGTGACAGCATGGACATTGAAGTAAAGCCAGCCAGCCATCCTAGTGTTTTCGTGTCTGCCGTGTAGACATCCCTTTTCTTGTAGAAAATTACTGCCAGCATTTTACCTAATTTCTTTGTTGGTTGGATGACTTTAGTAGTGCTGGGAACTGCTTGGTTTTGAAAAAGAAGAAGAAGAAGATAGACAATTTGAATATCTCATTCTCAGCCAAGCTTTCATGTAATATTAAAATTAAATACCTATGCTGGTTTATTGTAGCTTATAAATTAGAATGGCTTCACTTGTGAATTACATCCATACATATCTTGTTTTTCCTTTTCAACAATATTAGGTTTAATTAATTTTTTTATTTTTTTAAATTAATATTTTTAATGTTTTTATATTATTTTGATGTATTGATATTAAAAATAATTATTTAAAAAAATTAAAAAAACAATCACTAAATAAAAAACATGAGTTCACCCCCTTTTGTCAGTAGACGTGGTTAAATCATACATTGACTGATGTAGGATTTTTGTCATCATAAATAGCAAAAATAATAATAATAATTTGCCTGATTTAGAAGTGGACGCGTGTGGGACATGCCGGTCACCTCTTATTCATAGTTACCACGCCGACAAGCCGCGATGGGTGACACGTGACGGGTGCATGTTGGTAGTATAGCCCACGGGGTCACCAGAAGACTGCTACCTAACGGCTACCTCTGAAACTTTATTTTATTAATTGCTTTTAAAAGGAAGACTTTATGATTTCATTATTGTAATTTGTAAAACATGTAATTGGCTAATAATTAATATGTAATCCTTTCTTATTTTTATTTTGTCTTGAACAACTAATTCTTTCTTTGGTATTTTTTGTTCATACATACATTTTGAGAGTAATATTTTTAATATTTTTCAAAATAAAAAATCAATTATTTTACTGCTATTTCATAGTTAGATTTGCATTGTAATTAACGAAAAATATTTTATTAAAATAAAATAAAATTATATACTATCATTCTTAAAAAAGAAAAAATATTTTAAATGTAATGAAACAAATTTCAATGATATATTCATCTTGAAAAACTACAATGTATTTATTTATTTTATCTTATAAAATCATAAATTTATATTGATTATTATAAAATTAGAAGTGAATGGGAGCTTGGGGTAGCAATTGTTTTGTAAAATATTTTTATTTAAAAATAATTTGAAATAATATATATTTTTTATTTTTTAAAATTTATTTTGACACAAATCCATTAAAACTATCTAAAAACACATAAAAAATAAAGTAAAATTTTGTTTTTTAGCTAAACCATTTTTCTACTATAAAAATACATGCAATTAATGAAAAATTACATTATATTTTTCAAGATATGCACAAGAAAGAAAGAAGATAAATTCAGAATCCTAAACAAAATCTAAAAAAAACACCTAGCATTAAAGAAGGATTTACACTAATTAATAAATTAAAAAGAAGAGATAAGTAGGTTAAAAAGTTTTTGAAACAGATAGTTTTGCTAATTACTAAACCATCACATCCATACACGTTGACCGCTACTGTTTGTATCCGTTGAGGATTGTAATATTAAAAACCAAAATATATAATAATAAGAAACCCCTACGTCTTTCAACTAACCACGCGTGACTCAATAAATACGCGTCCTTTAGCGCGTGTGTCGTAACCTCCCACGCTAAATAGAAGAACCTTCCCTGCAACCTCCATCCCCGTCTTCGCCCCCCCCATCCTCCATCACTAATCATTATAAATAGCCTTCTCCCCTCGCCCTATCAAAACCCAACAAACGCTCCTTTCTTTTCTGTCTCATATTCTCCGCAACCAAACAAGAAGAACAATGTTTCGTTTAAGCAACAACTTGGTAGGAATCCTGAATTTCATAACCTTCCTGCTCTCAATCCCCATCCTGTGGGCAGGGATATGGTTAAAAAACAAAGGGACATCAGAATGTGATAAGTTCTTCGACACCCCAGTTATTGTCTTGGGTATCTTTCTCTTGCTAGTCTCTCTAGCTGGCCTCATTGGCGCGTGTTGTCGCGTGTCATGGCTTCTCTGGACTTACCTCCTAGTCATGTTTCTCCTCATCGTCTTGCTCTTCTGCTTCACGATTTTCGCTTTTGTCGTGACCAACAAAGGTGCCGGTCAAGTTTTGTCCGGGAAGGGGTATAAGGAGTATAAGTTGGGAGATTATTCGAATTGGTTGCAGAAGAGAGTGGGCAATGAGAAGAACTGGAGGAAGATTAAGAGTTGTTTGATTGATGCTAAAGTTTGCAGTGATTTTAACCAGAAATTCGTGAATGATACTGTTGACGTCTTGTATACCCGCCATCTGTCTGCTCTTCAGGTATTTTTTTCATCTGTTTTTTTTTTTTTAGCTTTTGAGTTATTGTTTGACTTTGCGGTTTTTCTTTTTTTTGTTAGATCTAAGTTTTTGTTGTTAAAAAGAAATAATGTTAAATCTACGATGATAATTTTCAATATTAGTATTTTTCTTTCCTATTCAAGAAACGAGATGTCACTCATGAGTCATGATGGGTTACTGGTAGTCGTTAGATGTCAGTACAATTTTCTGCGTGTAATTGTGGATTAAGAATGTTGTGATTAATAATTTTGATTATATATATATATGGTTATGGTATAAAACATTATTCTTGAGCATGTTCTATGAATGTTGAGATGACTGGTACGTTTCTCGATACACTCGAGTAGATGCTTTCAACAAGCCCCACTCACAGATAGCTAATGAGCTAGCTCTTTTAAAAAGAAACCAGCAATACTGGATGCGATGTTTGGAACAAAAAGACAACCAAAGGTTCCCGAAATGTTCGCAAATGACTTGTCATATGGCCGTACAGAAGAACAAGCAGACATGGACCATTTCCACGGTTATTATTACCCCTAGATAATTTGTTTATTTGACATAATTTTTCTGTAGTTCTGCAATTGTTTCCATGAACGTTTGGTAAATAGTTGTTCTATGTAGGTATTGTCGCAGTGGACTTTCTTCTTCATGTATTTGTAGTTCTTCACGTTTGGTAAAATGTAGTTCATAACACTACACTGGGATCTGATGTTTCTTTATTGTTTTTGCAGTCTGGCTGCTGTAAGCCATCAGATAGCTGTGGCTTTATTTATAAATCACCGACTAACTGGGAGAAGACAACTACAAATTCCACATCCGATCCTGACTGTAATGCATGGGATAATCAAACAGATGTTCTCTGCTTTAACTGCAACTCTTGCAAAGCTGGACTGCTGGACAACCTCAAGAGGGATTGGAAGAAGGTGGCTGTTGTCAACATTATTTTTCTCGTATTCCTCATCATTGTGTACTCCGTCGGATGCTGTGCTTTTAGGAACAACAGAAGGGACAACAATGCTTACTCTTCTGGATGGAAGCACCCTTAACTTGGAGAATTCTTGCAGCTAGCATGGATGCCGATAGTATCGCTTAGGATTTTAGTTGTAGGCAGCATACTTATTTGCTGCGCATTCTGATGTTATATATTTTTTTTCTCCACAGTTGGTTTCTTTGTATAGCATTCTTATGCTTTTCTTTTTATTATCTTCGGAACATATTGGTTATATATATGGCCTTGTACGCTCTGCGGAGCTCACATTTTCTATATCTGAGACCTTGTTTGATCATTCTTCTCTGATTTGTTTAATGCATCAGTTGCCGAACCATGCATTGGTCTAATGCGCATACTGTTCTTAGGCGAATATGACATTGTGAAGTAGCTTTAATAGTATTCCTTTAATATAAATACTCGTTACCATGGTGTGTTAAGCGGTTGCTGATAAAAATAAGGTCAGGGAAACAGGGTTTCTGCGGTTTCTAGGTGTGGATTCTGTGGTTACAAACTGAACCCTGCTAATTGCTTATGCAGAAGACTGATTTCACTATATTTGTGAGCGGTTGCTGCCATGTTTTGCAGGAGTGGAAACACACCATTAATTGCAGGGGTCCCATTTCGTATTCCAGATACTTAAATGCTGGGTGCGAGGTGTCAAATCAACAAAAAAAATGGTAAATATTCTCCTCAAGCGTCTTGACTGCAAACGAGAGGACGAGGACTTTCTCTGAAAAGTCTTTCGACGTGAACAGTGAGAAGAAATGTGTACATGCCAAAATACTGTCTTGTCTCAGAGTTTGGTGAAGATCAAATCATACAAAACAAATTGACATGCGCTTTGGAACGTCTTTATCTAGCACAAGGGGCTACATAGATGGTTAAAGGTATCCTTTCTTAATTATTAGGGTTTAAATTTCAAAATAAAATGTGAAAAAAATTCTGATGTTATATATTTTTTTTCTCCACAGTTGGTTTCTTTGTATAGCATTCTTATGCTTTTCTTTTTATTATCTTCGGAACATATTGGTTATATATATGGCCTTGTACGCTCTGCGGAGCTCACATTTTCTATATCTGAGACCTTGTTTGATCATTCTTCTCTGATTTGTTTAATGCATCAGTTGCCGAACCATGCATTGGTCTAATGCGCATACTGTTCTTAGGCGAATATGACATTGTGAAGTAGCTTTAATAGTATTCCTTTAATATAAATACTCGTTACCATGGTGTGTTAAGCGGTTGCTGATAAAAATAAGGTCAGGGAAACAGGGTTTCTGCGGTTTCTAGGTGTGGATTCTGTGGTTACAAACTGAACCCTGCTAATTGCTTATGCAGAAGACTGATTTCACTATATTTGTGAGCGGTTGCTGCCATGTTTTGCAGGAGTGGAAACACACCATTAATTGCAGGGGTCCCATTTCTTATTCCAGATACTTAAATGCTGGGTGCGAGGTGTCAAATCAACAAAAAAAATGGTAAATATTTCTCCTCAAGCGTGTTGACTGCAAACGAGAGGACGGGGACTTTCTCTGAAAAGTCTTTCGACGTGAACAGTGAGAAGAAAGGTGTACATGCCAAAATACTGTCTTGTCTCAGAGTTTGGTGAAGATCAAATCATACAAAACAAATTGACATGCACTTTGGAACGTCTTTTTCCAGCACAAGGGACTACATAGATGATTAAAGGTATCCACTTTCCTAATTATTAGGGTTTAAATTTCAAAATAAAATGTGAAAAAAATTCTAATTTTGATAGACTAATTTTATGTATGCTAATTTTAATTATTTTTTTTAGCTGAGGAATTATTTTTTCAAGGTTATCATCGTGTTTTTAAATGAAAATATGTAAAGCATTTTGTCGGGTGCATTGTTGGGGCTTGGCTCACGCACATGAATAAAGAGATTCATTTTTTATTCAATAAAAATATTTTTAAAATAAAAAAATAATTCTTTTTATTCATCCTCATCTTTTTCTTGTGTTTATCTATCTCAATAGAATTATTATCAATATTTATTTCTACAATAATATATATATATATATATATATTCTAAATTATTATTGTTAATGATGACTCATGGGGTCCATTTTTCCTTGAAAAGTCTTGATGAGAAAACTTTAAATATAATCACTAATTATGAAGAAAATTAAGTGCCACATGAAATAAATTTTTTTAAATAACTGAATAGTGTAATTGTTTTATGTTATATTCCTTTATATACCTTTCTAATTGGTTCATCCTACCATTAAAATTCCTCTTTTTTAACAAGTCCCATTCTGCATTCACACTTATAAGTTAAGTCCTATTAGTTTGTTTTTTTTAGAAATTAAATCAATTTCTTTGAAAAAATATTAAAAAAAAAAGGCTAGCCCATACAGAACTGGTTACCCAACACACCATGCCATAAGACAAGTTTAGGTGTGGGTGCATGTTACCTTTTTTTTTTTTTTTAATTTCTTTGAATTACCACCTCTTATTTAAAAAAAAACAAGTGAACTATGTGCCCTTATCAAACCTAGTTTTTGACCACCATAAAGGCTTAAAAATCATGTTGGATTCTAATTTTGATTGACTAATTTTATGTATGTTAATTTTAGTTATTTTTTTAGCCGAGGAATTATTTTTTTAAGGTTATCATAGTGTTTTTAAATGAAAATATGTAAAGCATTTTGTCGGGTGCATTGCTGACACTTTAATAACCTTAAAAAAATAATGCCTCAACTAAAAAACACTCAAAAATCAATTACAAAACACAAAATCTCTAACTGAGGGATTTGGCTGACGCACATGAATAAAGAGATTCATTTTATATTCAATAAAAATATTTTTAAAATAAAAAAATAATTCTTTTTATTCATCCTCATCTTTTTCTTGTGTTTATCTATCTCAATAGAATTATTATCAATATTTATTTCTACAATAATATATATATATATATATATATTCTAAATTATTATTGTTAATGATGACTCATGGGGTCCATTTTTCCTTGAAAAGTCTTGATGAGAAAACTTTAAATATAATCACTAATTATGAAGAAAATTAAGTGCCACATGAAATAAATTTTTTTAAATAACTGAATAGTGTAATTGTTTTATGTTATATTCCTTTATATACCTTTCTAATTGGTTCATCCTACCATTAAAATTCCTCTTTTTTAACAAGTCCCATTCTGCATTCACACTTGTAAGTTAAGTCCTATTAGTTTGTTTTTTTTAGAAATTAAATCAATTTCTTTGAAAAAATATTAAAAAAAAAAGGCTAGCCCATACAGAACTGGTTACCCAACACACCATGCCATAAGACAAGTTTAGGTGTGGGTGCATGTTACCTTTTTTTTTTTTTTTAATTTCTTTGAATTACCACCTCTTATTTAAAAAAAAACAAGTGAACTATGTGCCCTTATCAAACCTAGTTTTTGACCACCATAAAGGCTTAAAAATCATGTTGGTATTTTTTTCAACTAAAAACTTAATTCTTTACATATTTATATTTAACAACACTTTAATAACCTTAAAAAAATAATGCCTCAACTAAAAAACACTCAAAAATCAATTACAAAACACAAAATCTCTAATCTATTATTTCAGGAAATTGGGAAGTCCAAAAACACTTTAATGGAATTTTTCTTGTTAAAAGAAAAACTTTGATATTAAATTTAATTTTTTTTGTTATTGAATTTCTATCAACCACCCTTTTTCTTTCTCATCCGATGTTTTTTAATGATTCTCTCTTCATTTTTAAATTTATAAATTTAAAATATGAACAAAATAAAATTTTAAACTAAGTTGTTTAATTGCAAAGCTAACATGGCTAAAAAGCAAACTTGAAAATATCCTAAGGAAAAATTAAGCAAAAAAGCCCTAACACCATTTTATTTTAAAAGGGCCTTATTTTTTTTTATTTCAATTTTGTTATCTCATTTTTATTTTTTTTAAAAATAAAATTAGATTCTTTTCTTGTGAAATCAAGTATCAACCCAACATTGAAATATTTTTTTAGATCAAAATAACCATATCAAAACTATATTAAAATAAATTATGAATCTCAAATCTTAATTAATCCAATATTAAAAGATAAAATTAAAAAAAAAACTGATGATAAAGCAAAAAAAAAAAAGAAGAAAAAGGACCAAAGTCCACACCATAGTTTTAATTTTTTTTTCAATTTTGGTCCCTTTATTTTCAATCTCTTGCAAACAATAAATTGAATTATTTTTGTCAAATTGAGCACTAATTTGATGTTAGGATATTTTTTTGAGATCTCAATAATAACATAAAAGATAAATTAAAATAAATCGTCAACTTCAAATGCATATCAACACAATATAAATTTTTTTTTTGATAATATCATAAAAAACAAATCATCAATTACAAATGCATATCAACACAATATCAAAGAATAAAATTGAAAAGAAAAAAAAATTGATTATTAAAGCAAAAAAATAACCAGAAAAAAAAGACAACACATGAAGAAAGATGCCTTTCATCAATTTTTTTTTAAAATTTTATCCATAGATTTT